GCCGGTCACAGGTGCTGGCGAAACGTTAGGAAACAAAACTTCAAGACCACGGCCACACAGCTCGGAAGACCCACAGCAGCCATCGTATGCCGCCCGTGAAAGCCTTCGACAATACAAATACTGTATTTCTTTTTTGAAAACAATAGCATTCAGTGGTTAGCAAATTTCTCAAACATAAACTGTCAAAAAGTTACCAAGAGCTATACCCTCTTAAATATGCAAGTCATGGAAAGCTTCTGCTAATCAGAACAGGAAAAAGTGCTCTAATTCAGCTTAAGTCACCTTCATGTTATCCTCTCCAATTTTCAGACTTCTGCATGTTAATTATACTATTTTGTAATGGACAGTAACTTGTACATTTTATCTGTTTTAACAATAATCTACCATTTAAACTTTCTAGGATATTTAGAACTTAATTTAGTATTATTAAAAGTATGCATTTCATGTAATTTTTCAATAATGTGGCATTTGTTTCAATCCCCTTGAATAAGTCCTATAGTCAAAACATACTGGATATTTCTTATAAGATGAAATAGTGTTTCTTTGCAGCAGCTGGAGATTCACCTTTCTTTCCTTCATCCTGTATGAGTGCCAACAGGGTAATAACTTTTCATGCTTTATGTATTTGCCAAATGCCCATACCTTTAGACTCCCTAGAGTGCAGTAGATTCTGGTGGGTTTCTATTTATTGAATAAGGTCAGCATGGAGCATGAAATATAGCTGCACCTACACACTTCATTTTGCACAATTATGCTTTTGACACTACTGATAAAAGCTGGGTACCTATGAAAGGATTATTTGTACTACAAGTATAAACTAAAATTACACCTCACTGACTTAGAGAAATACTGTATTTGTTTTTTGAAAGCAATAGCATTCAGTGGTTAGCAAATTTCTCAAACATAAACTATCAAAAAGTTACCAAGAGCTATACCCTCTTAAATATGCAAGTTCTTATTCAGATTTCTGTTCCTGCTGCTATACCAGCCATTTGTCTGGTTTCAATCTCAAGTGGGGGAATATTCAGAGACACATTCAGCATCTTCAAGTGCTTGATCTCTTTACAATTCATTTTCTATGATTAGTTGAGTTATAGTGACATCTAGATTAGGATACATTTCAATTTAAATTCCCACATGCTGATTTTTATCTAAGGTTTCAGACTTACCATACTGTGTGGATTCTAAACATATAGTCATCTTGGATCTCTCCAATTTGAACACCGTCACCAACAAACCTAATCTATAGCATCTGGATTTAACTAGGAGTTAAATCTTGGCTATAAATGGCACATCGGAAATTAAAATGGTATTATGTGCATTCTCATAACATACTTTTTTTCTGTCAACATATAGTGGGAATATGGCCCAAGACTTGCTTCAATCTATAGTGTTTCACATTTTTTGACTTTCAATAGCTGAAATTCAACAATTGATGAAGACTCCGAGACTTAAGAATTTCTGTTTGGGGAAAGTAACAACTGAAATTGTGTTTGCTATCTCATGATTGTGGGGAGTGAAAAAAGAGTAATTTGCTTCTGAATATAGGCTTTCATTTTGTCACCGGGGAGATGGTGCAAAACGCAGTTGCACTCAAAAACAATTTTATACTCTCTCTTCCTGTCATCATCCCCCAAGTTTTGTTCCTGCTTCCTTGTATGTTCATATGTATATATCCATCATGTATTCCCTTTAGAGACAAGTACCATTATGTAAAGTGCAGAAAGGAGTAAGAAATAGTAAGCAAAAGAAATTAAGAGTATGAAATGAGAGGAAATGAAAGGAGTATAGTTAAGTCTAGTATGCACCTACACTATCTACTATACTTCTTCATATTTTTCTATCCTTGCAAAGCATCCTTGCTTCTGTCATCTCCGTTAATTAATACATTGCCTATTGTTCTTTAAACCTCACTGTCTTTTTGAGGATCGTATCAACTTCATCCAACCAGAACCTTCTCAGACTTCCCATTTCTCCAAATCCATTCATTTTTTATTTAATCCTCATTCTCTTTGTATTACCAAACCACATTTGTCCATAAACATGTTTCATGACCAAAAGGGCATCACAAAACCTTGTCTTACTCTCTCCTCACTGCTGAACCACAAGCACTACTGTTATTTTCACATATGCTTTATTTCCATCATAATCTCATTCAGCAGCAAACCTTCAACAACATATTCATACAAAATACCATAATTCAAGCCTATTATCATCCAATTTCTTTAAATCAACAAATATTCAATATTTTTTCTTTTGGACACTCATACATTTCTCAATTACCTGCTGAAGAGCAAAAATCTGGTCTACACATTACACATCCCAATTTTGCTCATTTTCATCCCTTGTACCCTTTTGATCAGAATTCTGCCCAACACTTTCCAACGCATACTTAACAAACTAATCTCCCTCTAGTTCTTGCACTGATTCTTGCTACCTTTCCCTCATACTTCCAGTGGCAGTCTTGGAAATAATAAAGGAGGGATAAAATAATAAAGGTGGGATAAAAAAAATCTTTTAAAAAATTAAATATTTAACAAATCAATCTATTTAATATTTAAATATTAAACTGAACCTTTATCAAGAAATCTATTTTAATGCAATGTTGCTGGAAAACCCAAATACATTTCTTTAAGGACTGTAACTCAAGAAGCTCATCAGATGTTTCTGTTTTGTAAAAAATTGGCAGAAAGGCTTATTTCCAGTTGCTTTACCTGTTTTTGAGACTAAGGCTATGTCAAGTGTTTTATAAAGCTCAAATTTGTCCATATACAAATACTGATTTTTGTCTGCTAGAAACAATACAGAATAGATTTTTAAGGGATGTTTTCTTAATGTCTCTGTGTGTTTCAAGCACCATTCTTCACCTAGATTCTTATAAGCCTTTAAGACAAGGGCACAGGACTTATGTCTTAATTTATCAGATAAATTTAATATTTTTGTTGCACTCCTTTAACATCTCTAACCCTGATTGATTTCTTGCACTCTTAATGGAGAAAAACATTAATACAAGATCTTAATTATTGCCATTTCTCACTTCAGTCTGTAATTTTTCTAGAGGAAGACAGAGCTAACGAGGTCCTAAAACAAAGAGAAAGTGGTACAGAGCTTCAAAATATCGGAGTTCTGTATCATTATTTTCATTGCTATTGGGCCCAAAGTGTCAGCAAGGTGGACCAGACTAAGGAACCAATACCATATATTCGTCAGGACTACTTTTATTGTAATAGCGATAGTAACAAAATCTTGCAACTCTGAATGTGCTTCCTCCTCCCTCACTTCATCTTCCCATGAACTAGGGAGGGGTTTAAATGAGGCATTTTCTCATGTTATTGTCTTGGCCCAGGCTCAAGCCCCTCTTATCTGACCATTGCCTTGGTAGCAGCTCTTCCTCCTGTTCTTCAAGGCCATTCCTATACCCTCAAAGAAAGTTTATACCCTAGCTCAATATCTTTATATTCTGACCACAGAGGACTATAAAAGAGCATTCCTCTTGGCCCTCTGTAACATTTCTCCATCTTTAATTATTAGAGTTAAAAACTAACTTTGTTCATATGGCATGGGGGACAATCAAATTCATTGGACACATTCTCCTCTTAGGTCCTTATTTATTTACAAGAATGTATTGCCTAGCTCTAAAGACTCTAGAAAG